TTAATCAACAAGTTAATTGATTTACTAATACTATAAAATATGTGATTTTTTATTCAAAACAAACCAAATTAATAAATTAGTAAATCAATTAATACCTTTCAACTTCGTCATTTTCAATAATGAATTCTTTCTTTAAAACTTTTATAGCATAAAGTTTTTTTGTGGTTTTTTCTTCAGCAAGCATCACTTTACCAAAATTTCCTTTACCTAATACTGAAATAAAAGTAAAATCATCTAAACCAATTTTAGGAGTTTTATGAACAACAACTGGTTCAACTTTATCAATTTGTGGTTGTTGATGGGTAGAAGAAGCTTTTGGCTAGAAAACCGATCATGATGATAATAATGATTATTATTATTATTATTATTATTATATTTATAATCTCGACATTTGAATTTTTTTAAAAGGAAAATATGAAAAAATATTGGATCCAATTGCCAGAACTGTACTTTCTAAAGATCAGCTTCAATATTTATCATTCAAAGCTTTCTTTGTAGGTTTTCCAATTAAACATATATTATAATGATATTACGCATTATTAATAATACAAACTTTTATGAGTTATTTTTCAAGTTCATCAATAATCAAAATTTCTTTTTTTATAAACAATAACTAATGATATAGACACACATTTTGCTTCATGAAGTTGCACATTCAAATGGTCCACATTTTATAGTCGGATCAGATGGTAAAGTTACTGTTAGGTCTAAATTGCAAGAATATCATTCCGCAATTGAAGAAGCAAAAGCAGGTAAATATTGTTTATTTGATCTATTTGGATTATTTATTTATTTTGCATATAAAATAAATTTTTATTAATGTAGATGATGTATTTTATGCATAGATATTGCTGGTCTTTTTGCAGCTGCCCATTTAATTAAAATAGGACATTTGAGTGGCATATCTAGAGAACAATTTTATGCTACTTATTTAGCTTCAGCTTTTAGATCTATTAGATTTGGAATCAATGAGGTATTTGGAAATATAATATAACCAGTTTTTTTTAAAAAAAACCAATTAATATTATATTTCCAAAAAAATTTTTTAGGCTCATGGATTAGGACAATGTATTCAATTAAATTATCTAACTGAACAAGGAGGTTTTGAATACGATCCAGCAAGTAAAAAATACAATGTGAATTTCGATAAGATTGAAAAGTCAGTTGAGAATTTAACTAGGGATATATTGATTTTACAAGGCGATGGCGATAAAAATAAAGTTAAGGAGTTCGTTGAAAAATACGGGAATATTAATGAAGCACAACAGGAAACTTTGAATCAACTGGAGGATAAAAATGTTCCGATTGATGTTCGACCAGTTTACGAAATTGAAAACGATCATAATATTTTTGGTTAAATACGAATTTCGGATTATAGTATGCGAGTGGGTACGAGAGTGAATTGAATTGAGTTAGATTGACATCGTATTTTATATAGGTTTTATCTTTTATGTACAAGATCATCTTTTTAATCTATTATGTATTATTATATATTTTATCGCATAAATTTACAAATTAATAAACTGTTATTATTATAATAACAATCATCATCACAATATCGAACGGTATACTTTGTTATTTCTCAAATAAAATAGTAAAGGCATTGTTTAAAATACAATTCAATGATTAATTTTCATTGGAGTACTTTTAATTTCGTCAAACAACTTTAGTCCATTTCCTTGCGTAATGGTAATGACGAAGAAGGACAAGTCAAAACTATTGGGGCATTCCAAATACACACACACATATATATATGATTATTTAATTTTATTTTATTTATTTTTTATTCAAAGTACAAAACCAGTGTAAATTAAATAAAAAAATAAAAAAAATGAAAAATAAATAAATTTGAAGAGTTATAAAGAACTATTTTAAGAACTGGTGAATACATTATTAATAACATACAATTAGATTAAATTAAATTAAATTAATATACAATTAAAAATTACACATTACACATTAATATAAATAAATAAATAAATAAATAAATTAAGGTTAAGTAATAA